CAATGTGACCCGAGGGAGGACAGGGGAGCGTCTGCTGGACAGATGGCCTCCTGGCCTTGGATCAGCGTGTGTGAGGGGGAGGGGTCCATACGACCTTAGGTATGTCTGTTCCTCAGAACCCCAGGATTATTGGAGCTGCTCAGGGATTTTTAACTTTTTTTTTTTTTTTTTTTGAGTAGGCCAGAGGTGGCATTAAAAGTCCTGGATTGGAATAAATCCACCAGCCCACCCAGGGAAGCATGTCTGGCACCCAGGACTAGCCTAGAATAGGACTTGGGGGTGAGATGGGTGCTGGGCCTAGGGTTGGCCCCCTTGCCTTCAGCTCTGTGTTCATGTACGGCCTGTAGGGTGCATCTGCTTGTGTGTACAGTGTGGCTGAGCATACAGGATGTGGACAGACAGATGCCTGGCCTGGTGGGTGCCTGCTGGGATTTCATGGGTCTGTTTCCTCAAACTCACAGGTACATCACACAGTGAAAGAGAGGAGGAAGCTAATGGTGCTAGCACACATATTTTGCCCATTTTTCCCCAATGGTCGTGGCTTTGATTCACTCAGTAAATTTTTATTGAGCACTTATTACATGCCGGGCACGGGACTAGGTGTTGGGAGGATGGTGGTAAAGCAGAAAGATATGTTGTAGCTTGAGCTCGTAGCCTAGTGAGAAAGGCCAATAATAAGTAATCTTGAAATTTCATCCAGCACCAAATGTTTGTCAACAAACATGTGCCGGGCATTGTTTTCGATGCTGTGAAGAAAGCAAGCAGAAATAACTGCCCTTCTGGAGCTTTCATTTCAGGGTGGAGAGGGGAGAGGGGGAGGGAGGACAGGAAAGTAAAGGATATAGTTCAAAAAAAAAAAAAAGCCTGTTAAAAGGGGCTAAATGCTAAAGGATAAAAAGAAAATAGGGAAGGAGGATATGAGATGTTGGGTGGGGGTTGAATTTGCATTCAAGTAGCCTGGGAAGGCCTTCTAAGAAGGTGTCTTTTGAATACAACTCTGAAGGAAGTGGTAAACTAATCATTTCAAACAGTGATGAGCGCAAGGAAGGAAAGACGAAGAGAGTGGTAAGAGTAATGGGCCTTGATTTGATTTGGGGGCTTAGGGAGGGCTTCCCTGAGGAAGTGACGTCTGGGGTGAGACCCGAAGGAGGGTTAAGAGTTAACCATGTGTGGAGCAGCCCGGAGCTTGGCAGGTTGGAGGAAGCGAAAGAGGTCTGTGTGGCTGGAGGGGGAAAAGGAGAGGGGAGGTAAGTCTGTAGAGAGGTGAGGGAGATCACAGGGGGCCCTGCGGACAGAATGCCTCCCCCCTCTAACTCTGGTTTGTATCTCCAGTGAAATTAGGAACCTTTGGAGGGTTTTAAGTGATTGACATGATGACATTTACATTCTAAAAGGTCTCTGGCCTCTGTCTGGGGAATGGACTTTGAGATAAGCAGGTAAGGCGAGGCTTTCTGTGTTGAGGGCCTAACTATTTGATCTGCCTCAGAAAAGCGAAAAGCCTTTAGAGTAGTTTAGGAGAGAGCTTTTCCCTCAGAGTCTACTTTGTGCAGCTTTTAGGAAGGGAAAGGAAGACGAGTTAGCATTTATGGAGCGCCTGCTAGACGGGAGAAACAATTCGGGAGACTTTGGCAAACATCATATTTGACTTACTCCTCTGCAGTTTGAGAGAAAGGGCTTGTCTGCCCCTTTACAGACACGAGCGCAGAAGGGATAGGAAACAAGTCCTGAGGGGTTAGATGACTTATCCAGAAACCACATTTGTAACATAATCTGAATTCAAACCCAGGTCTTCCTGATCCCAGAGCCCAGTGGCTCTGGAACCAGACTACCGGTTGCTTCTGCCACTTGCTAAGGGAATGATTTTGAGTTTGATCTCTTGTGTGCCTCAGTTTCCTTTTTGGAAAGGCCTTAAGCTTTACCCAGCTTACATTCAGATAAAAGTACCTACCTCACAGGACTGTTGTGTGTATCAAATTAACCAAGCCATAGCGCTCACCTGGAATGTTAGTTGCTATTATTACTTAAATTTTTAAAACTTTCATGTTGCCTCTTAACCATATTGCGGTCACTTTGGATGAGATTCAATATATGGATAATTTAATTCTCAGATTTTGTGAGACTCTTTTCTCCTCCCTTTTCCTCCAAACGACTTAATGCCAGTGTTCCACCTGATCAACCTTTCAACGTTGATCTCACCTTTCATTCTTGACACTGTGCTAGGACTTATGGATACAAAGTGAGTTTCTTCTCTGCAGAAGTTCAGGGTATCCAGAGGTAGGTCAGATATTGAAACAGATGAAGCACAATGTACTTGAGTTCTCTAACGCACCTGTAGTTAGCTGTTATAAGCTGTAAGAACTAAATGCCTGGGGGAGTAGGGAAGGCTTCAGGGCAGAAGTGAATTTTGAACTGGGCTTTGGAGGAAGCAAAGGAGTTTTGTAGGCAAGTAAGACTGGCCAAAGGACATTCTAGGTAGAGAGAGCTAGATATGAAAGCATGGAGCCTTGAGAGGCTTGGCTTGTTTGGGTAGGAGGCTGGAAAGCTGAGTTGGAGCTGTGAAAGGCGGGTCAAGTTTGGATTTTATCCTACAAGCCATGGAGGGTATTAGATGAGTATTAGATACATCAGAGAGTATTAGACACATCAAATACACACCATGACGGGTGTTGGAGTTAGAGAGTGGAGACAGATGTCATCCTGGGGGTGGCTTTATTTTGGTGGGATCACTATGTTTCAGGATCTGGTTCTCAGTTTTGTAGACCCGAAATTCAGTTTTGTAAGGCACTTGGAGCTGATTGGATCCAGGCAGACTGACTCACTAACCAAACTTGGAAGAGACTGATGCATAAACTCAGGGTATTAACTGGCCATGAGAAATGAAACTGCAGAATGACAGATGTTCTGTCCTCTGGCCATCTCCCTCCCCACCGCACCCCACCCCCTCTGGCCAGGGCTGAGACATTTTAACAAAATCTTGCTCCTCAATTCCTGTCTGTTTTCCTCAGGCCCATGAAAACCCATCCTTTTTGTTAACATAATCTTTACTTAAGCTCCATACAGCATGGCCAACCATGATTATTCATTGATAGAATGGATGATTCTGTATCCTGTGGGTTGGATCATATGTTTGTGAATCTTAAGGAAGAGGAGGAATAACTTTTTTAGAAATAAAATACTGGAAAAGGGGGTTCCTTAGAAGCGGTATGCAGATTCTAAGTGGTGTGGGTAGTCTTGAAGCTAAAGGGTGGTTGTGGACAGATGCATTGGAAATTGTTCTGGGGGCAGAGGTCTGTGAACTCTTGGTTGCACTTGAGGAGAGATTAGTTTAGAATGTTCATCTTCCCTACACATTGGAGACGGAAAAGAAAGTAGTAATGTCTGCCCTCTACTCAGCCTGGTCACGATGAGCTTTCCTACTGGACTGGAGTGAGTCTTCGCGGGGTTTGGGTTTCATCCTCACACTTGTCTCTACTTGAGCAAAACTGGGAAGAGTGGTGGATCTCCTAGAAGTTTTGAGTTTGTGCTTTTCTGTAGTGAAAAATAAAATCCAAATAGACTAACCTAGATTGTGGACTAATTATTTTTTTTTCAATGTTTATTTATTTTCGGGACAGAGAGAGACAGAGCATGAACAGGGGAGGGGCAGAGAGAGAGGGAGACACAGAATCGGAAACAGGCTCCAGGCTCTGAGCCATCAGCCCAGAGCCCGACGCGGGGCTCGAACCCACGGACCGCGAGATCGTGACCTGGCTGAAGTCGGACGCTTAACTGACTGCGCCACCCAGGCGCCCCTGGACTAATTATTTTTATTTTAAAACTCTAAAAATAATTACACAAGCACTTTCATGTAGAAAATTTAGGGGCCGCAGGTATACAAAAGAAACAGAACTGACTGATAAATCCTATAACCTAGAACCACTGTTAACATTTGAATAATTTAGTGTTTGTATTAGATCTTTGTCTCCAACTCTGTCTTTCTATGTAACTTGGTTTTGACTTTTTCTTTGGCTACAAAATTAGGAACATCCTGAATAGGAGAGAATTCTGAGTGTTGACATCCATGAGGTGAAGTGATTGCATGTACATGAAAATCTGTGTCTGTTTCCATTTCTGGGCATCTGGTCCAGTGTCCTCCCCCTTCATGTTCTAGGAGTGTTGGGCGTGAGATCCATTAGCTAATTAATTTTTAAGAAATGTTTTAGGAGATGAGAGTGCTGCCTCAGCCAACCGTTCAC